ACATGCAAACTCCACACACATAGTGGCCCCAGCTGAGAATCAATTTTTTTCTCACCAACGTTGTAATGAAACAGTGTTGTTCCAGGACCTGCTGTATATCTGAAAATATCTTTATTCTGTCCTCAGAATTAATAAGGTGACTGATATATATTTCTAGTTTGGGAATAATTTTTCTTCAGAATTTTGAAAGCATTGCTCCATTGCCTTTTAATTAAGTCTACTGCGGGAAACCTTGAACCATTCTGACTCCTACTCCCTGTGTATTCTCTCTGGAAGTCTGTAGACCTTCTCATTGTCCCAGTGTTCTGAAATTTCATGTGATGTGGGTCTAGTCCCATTTATTATTTGGGGCCCTCTTTTAAGTCTTTCCTATCTGGATTGCATGTTCTTTTGCTCTGATCAATTTTCTTGATTTACTTTAATTATTGGTTCTGCTCCATTTTTTTGTGATCTCTGGAAATCCTGACCTCTTAAGGCCATCTTCTGCTTATCTTCCTTCTAGTTTTACATATCTACATCTTTTTGCTCTACTTTCTGGGAGATTTCTACACCTTTATTTTTAAAATCTTCTCTTGAATATTTAATTTCTGAATTTTTTTCAGTTTCTAAATTTTTTTAATTGTCCGTTATATAGTATCTTGTTTTTATATCTTTGATATATTTCTTTATGTCTCTGAAGATATTAATAGTGGTATTTGTGAGTTTATGTTTGTTTGGTTTTGTTAAATTATCTTCCCCATTTGTTCTGTTTCCTCCAAGTTGCTGTTTTCCGATTTGTTTTATGATTTCTGTCTTTCACGTATGTGGTTTTCCTCACATGTCTGTCTGGTAAACCTTGGTTTTCTGCACATATTTTACAGTTGGGCTTAAAAAGCGAATGGGGAGTTTCTGAGAACACAGAGCTTGTTAAATGTGTCACTATAGTGTGACCAGACAGGGCCATTTAGTTAGAGAATCTATGATGCCCAAAGAAGAGTCCCCAGTCTCCTCCCTAGAAAGAGATAAGCCCAACAGCCATCACCTTGGGGCTGGTTGGGGAGTCTCAGTATTCACCATACATACTTCACTTATTTTTCCTTCTTTTCAGTATGGTGACCCACCTTTCATTGGGCCCAGTGACCTACAATCCTAGGAACTTCTTCTCCAGAAAGGGTGAAGCAGTTGCCAAGTGATGTGGAATCTCGGAAGGGATTGGACATCAAATTGCTTCTCAAGGAGAACCGTAATCAACCCACACTTCCTAAGCATTTGTGGATTCCCACAAGTGTAAATTGGGTTTATTCTCAGCTTCCCCACCACTGGCTTAGGAGTTAGTTTTCTAGGGCTCCTGCTATGTCCTTTAACACTCATTCATCTATTTGCCAGCTTCCAGAATTTGGTTTCTCTCCTCTTTCCTGTTCTTTTAGCCCTTGTGAGTTTATTTCTTTTTTGAAAGGGGTCTGGGGAAAAAGCAAAAGTGTGTGCAAACTACCAGCTTTATCCAAAACCTAATAATTCTTCCAGGACTACTTTATGTCATTTGCTAAGTTTTAGTTTCTGGCAACCTCCTTGTATCCTCATGAAATAATGTTTCTTAAAATAATTCCTAAGCTTTTGCAATATTCACATTGCAGTTACAAGGAGTGTATCGCCCCTCCTCTACTTTAGCTGTCTCTTAAACTTGGCTTACAAGATTGACTTTGTTTTTGTTGTCCCTTAAAGGGATTCCTAGTTGAGATTTTAATAGCATCTATTCTTGCTTTGTTGTGCTTGATTCTGCTATTCTTCAATGCTTTCTATGGCTTTTTAATGCTTATTAGGAGCCAACAATTTATTTTAAAAATTGAATTATACAGGATACCTGCTCATTGAGATGTTGATCTAAATTAGTGGGTAGCAATTCCTATTAGTTAGATAAATCCTTTACTCCCTGTCAAGGTACTGTCATTTTATGGACATTGCAGCTCTGCTTTAAGTCATAACATTACTTGTTAGGACAAGTTAGCTTTTACCTTTTACTTGTTAATACAAGTGTTTTATGTATTGTTGTAACTGAATGTTTTTTGGCTCATGGCCGAAACTTTTGCTTACTGCCCTCATGTAGACCTAGTACAAATTAGAAAGTGGTTTTTGCCAACTCAGTTCTGCTTTGAGCCATTTCCTGGTTACAGTTGATTATTCAGTGCAGCTATATTAATTGTAGGGGCAATGTCATGCCCTTAGAGGTGGTTTAGACTGTAGATAGCATTTACAAAATGGCAGCCCAGTAGACAGTATTCAGACAGAGGCAAAGAAGGCCTGCTGAAAGCAATACCCACTGGTGCAGTAAGTAGTATCAAACTCAAGTCTAACTTGCAGATTCTTTTCTTCAGTCTCTTCCCATTTCAGCTACTGCTACAAATTTCAAATGTTAGCATACGACTGCAGAGCAATTAAAGAGAATCAGTAGTAGACAGGAAAATGTAAGCTGATCCAGCAATGCAATGTGTTGGTGTGAATAGATATTAAATGCTTTCCTTTAATTGAGGGCGACAATATACCATTAACTCATCCCCTAAAGCAGGGGTGGACAACCTATGGCCTACATGAGAAACCCCACCTGAGGCCTTTTTTTACTGTCCTCTGAGGAGATTTTTATAGTTCTAAGGGGTAGTTTTTTTAAAAAAGATAATGATAATAAAGAGAAACAGGAGGAAAAAGAAGAAAAAGAGAAAGCAGAAGGAGGAGGAAAAAAGGAAGAAAATGTAACAGAGACTGTATGTGATCTGCAAAGCCTAAAATACTTTCTAGCTCTTTACAGAAACAGTTTGCCAGCCCCTGGTCTAGACACTGCTGGCCTAGCCTCGTTTCTATCCTGTCCCACATGCTCCTGCCCCAGTCAGGGAAAGGTCTAAAGTTGTTCCCAAGACTTTAGCAACTTAAATATGTATGTGTGTCAGTGTGTGGTTTCAAAAAGTTTTAATTATAAATAGATAGATTTGAATCATCATTTCTCAAGTTTGTGACATCTAACCAGATTTACCAATGTAAAGGACCGTGTTACACAATTGTGTACACATAAGTCAGCATGACCCGTCATGGTTTACATACCTAGCTACAACTGGAGGCGGGGGTAACAGAAAAGTTATAAACAGTATTTTCATAAACCTTTTTGGTTTAGTTGGAGATACTGTCAGAAAGGTATATGTTGAACTTGTTTCTTTTTGCAAGTATAAAATGTGAACAAAAATAAAATTAAAACATGTTTTTATGATACAAATATCCTTTCATTTACCAAAAGCCTAACCAAAGAAAAGATTTCACTTAAACAATTAACTTTAGAATTAGATAAATATATATTTTTAACTATTACTTTACCAATTATTCTCACCTACTGTGGATATTAGCCAAAATTTGGACTTTATCAATAACAGATGTATAGGGTTTATCATCACTTTAGGTTTTCTCATTTTACAGCATTTTTAGCCTGCATAGTCTAGAGCATCCACATACCATTTCCAGGTGAATTTTTCAAAAACTTAGCTCTGATCCTGCCAATTCAGTCTAATCAACAGTAAGAAATTAAACCAAACAAGTAAATTACCAAACATTCCTTTCTGAGTCAATTAAAAAGGAAGTCCCGGAAAAATGCCAGTGGTACCATTTTATATTGTTCAACAAATTATGCTATAATTCTCTCTGTGTTTTGGGGTATTTTTCATATTTGCCTTGAATCCATTGGCAAAGTTAGCATATTTATAAACCGATTATTTGTCTAATGGTGACATATTATCCCTCTAGTATCAAAAAAATGAATTTAGAGTAGAACATTCAGATGATTGCTTAGAAATAAGGCTTGTGAGGCCAGTTTATGTCTCTAATCCCAACCTATGGCCAAAATATAACCATGATCAACATTTAATGTTCATCTTCAGTAGCACCTGTGAATCACGTAGTCGAACAACTAATTTAATGCTCTATTTTTTCCTTTAATCCCCTGTGACTTTGATCCAATGGGCATACAAAATCATCTTGTTATAGGATTCATCTCCAGCTGATAAAGCAAACTAGTTCTGAGGATAAACATTGAAGTCAAGCATTACTTTGTATTTTCTTTTCTTTCTTTACCAAAAAGCTTCATTTGAAAAAATAATTCAAATTATATAGTATTTTCTGTTGTTTGGATTCTAGATTGTAGAAATCTAGAGGTCAACATTAAGCCAATGGCTTTATTTCTTTCAAAATGAGAACATAAAATGGAATTCCAGTGAAAAGCTGGTCTTGAAGCTCATGAGCATATTCTGTACAATGCATGGTGTGGATTGGAGGGGCCATTATTGGGATTCTTCGCTGTTGTTAACTGTAGATGTTTAAGGAAGAAAAACTTGAGTCCAAATAACATTGTAGCTGAATCAAAGGAAGTAGAGAGATGCTGATATACTCTCTCTTATCAGTAAGTGAACCAATTAATTATGCGCTTTTTGGAGATTTAATCATCTGAGATTTATTAATGATGCCCACTGCTGACTGGATAGAGCAAGGGAATTTATATATAAAACAGAGATGAAATAAATGGTTAATTAGGGTATGAAACTTAATCCAAACTGGAATGCATTGAATTTATAATAAATATCCCTAAAACTATAAAAAAAGGACAGAAGAAAATAATTCATAATAATTGATTTTCTCAAGAATAGCCTAAAGAAGTGAAGAATGTTTAAAATCCCCGAAAGTTGCTCAGTTCCTTATTCCGAATAGTTCATCCATTTCTAAAGTCTTGCTTTTGAACCCATCATGGTTTTCTTAAAAAGAAAAGAAAAAACAAAAAACAAAAAAAAAAACTACCCTTTCTAAACTAATCTGGAAAGGCTTTGAAAGTCACTGTTGCCCTAATAACATGGTTAAACTTCAGCCTTTGTTTCTACAGTTATTGACCTTCACATACTCCTACAGGGAAAGGGCTGAGCCATCCTGAGGGACTACAGCATGGGCAAATGCTCACAAGCAATTAAAGGCTGATTAAGTGTTTATCTTCTTTATAGGTGGGAAGGAGAGAATGAAAATGAAGTGGGCAGATGTAAAGAGACCGGCAAAGTTCACGTGACTGTGGATCTCAAATACTACCGACCAACGGAAGTGGTAAGTATTCCTGGCCACCCAGTGTTTAGGCCCATTCTGCCAGCTGGCTGGGAAAATATTATCACTGAATGCCCAAAGCCAACCTTCAAAGCTCTCCATTGGGCTCCCTGGCATCATTCAGTTGACATTTCCCAAACCAGAGTATAGTGAATTAAATCTGAGATGTTATTCTTACCACAAAATCCATTGCTTCTAAAAGGAAAACAAGGGTAAAACACACCCAAGGAAATAGTTGGTTTCAGAAATGGAGACTCATATCAATGGCAAATCTCATCGTGTTAGTCTCTCATTTTGATGGCAGATCCCAGATACCCACAGAATATCTGACTTACAAGGCCTTCCATGACCTGCAGGATCTTGAGATTTGGAGGACTACCTACCTCCCCAGTGCACACGTGAACTCTCAAGCAAGCACACACATAAACATACTCACCGATGTGCACTCACATGCATACACAAACATAGTTATAAATGGTCTCCCCATACATTTTTTAACACTCAGCTCAACTACTGCCCTACCTGTGAATCCTTTTCTGGACAATATACCACTACCACTGAAATTTCTACTCCTTCCTTTGTATCTTCATTATATGTTCTACATAATAATTATATTGCAACACCTATCATAATTTATTACACTCATTTGTTTACAAGTCTTTCTCGATTTACCAAACTGTGAACTCATTTAAGATAAGGACCTTTTTTTTTTTTTTTTTTAATATCTTCAACTATACCAAAGTAGGTGCTTAAAAATATCGATTGATGGGTAGATGGATGAGTGAATGGATGGATTTCTAAATACAGAGGTTCCTGTATTAAGAAATGACCTATAGATTGTTAGACCTTAACATCCTCCTTTCTTAAATTTATAAAAACTTCTAGCTTGGTGTTGTCACTATAATGTGGTCCACATTCTTTATGGTGACAAAATTCAACATGTTAAGTATACCTAAAGATAATAGAAAGCGGCATTTTCAGAGAGAAATGTTCAAACAGAATGGTTACCTAATGAAATGTACATTAACTATGAAAATAGAATCCCTCGAACCTGTTTTACCTTTGTTTTGAACCAAATTCCAGTGTGTTGTACAACCTTTCGGAGATTAGGAAAACCTCAGTGAAGAGAAATTGAAAGTGCATATGTCATCAGTAACCACCTACAAAATGTTCTGTTTCAAACAAAAGAAAAAAACTTCATTTCATGCACTATTACAAAGGAGGAAATAAAAAGGAAAGGAAATAACCAGTGCTTAGAGACTAGGGCTGTAGAGTCGAAGCATTGTCCTGGCACAGGGCGTGGCCGGGTCTTTGACACACAGGGAACAATGGTTCCCTGTGCTAATGGCAAGTGGGTGTGCCAAGGAGAGGATGTGCTCTGTCTCTGGAGGAGGAAGATACCAGCACACTCCTGCTGACACAGCAAGGAATGTCTGCCTGTCTGTGGAGCCCCCTAGCCGCACTGGCATTTGTTTCCCTGCCTAAAGAGGTGCCACAAGGGTATCATTTTTCTGGAATATTGTGCAGATCACATAAACAGGCAAATCTGTTTCTCTGCTAACAAAAATTGTCATCTCAGAGTGGAAAATTTACTGAGCCAACAGAAACCTCAATCCTTATAACAATTTAAACATGGCTCTTTCTCTCCTGACACCAAAATAGTTTCAAAAGCTAGGAAGTCGTTAAGAATGGCTTGTCTGTCATTCTCACTTAGGCAAGGTGTGGACTTGATAAGAACACAGAACAAAAGAATTCGCTGAACAGGAAAAGGACCCTTAGACTAACAAGGCAGTTCTTGAAGTCCGTCTCTATCTGCCCCTTTCCTGTCCTGAATCTGCATCCCTCTTCCTTTCTTTTGTTCATTCAGATGTCATTATCATACCTGTTCTGCAACTCCATTTACACTAAAGTTGTTTTAACATAAGAGTGGTATCTTATTTCATACGCTTGCTTTATTTGTTCACTGATATAGCTCTGACCCCGGATTCTCTTCAATGCTTAATTTTGGATGTTTAACTGCATTTCATCTTTCTAATCCTCTAGGCTGCATTAATTTTGTTCACTCCACTTCAACTGAACATTCTATTGGGCAAGATTTTCTTGTATAGTGAAACTAAACTTTTAACCTCATTCCTCAGAACATGGAGTTTTCCCAAAACTTGGATCAGCTTGACAGCCTTATGTTGAATTGCCTCAGGGGTGATAGTATTCTTCCAATTGAAAGGTGACTAGAACTGAACACTGCTTTGTAAATGAGCTTTCACTTAGGTGTGGGCCTTAATAGCCAGCACATCGAGAGAGTCATTTGGCATGAGTTTCTGAACAGCATCGAACTTCTCTGAGGTTTATCAGCACCTAATGCAGGGTAGTCATGGAATTCTCCCATATCTAAATTGTATCCTTTCCCACTTAGTGTCTAAGTTCATCTTGTAAGTTCCAGAGGCTTCTTTTCACTTTTCCTCAGATTCTGTAGAAGCTTGTTCTCCTGATTAGCTTCAATCATATGTATTCCCCCAAGATCTTCAGCACATAGGGCATTCCAAAGCTAAAAGCATAAACTAGATTTTAAGAGTCACATGGTTCCAGAATGAGTGATAGAAAAAAATGTAAAGAAAATGTAAAAAAAATGAAAAGAAAAAAGTGATAAGGACATATGCACACTCAGAACACCAATACCCTAAAGCAAGACTAAAGGCGCATAGAGCTTTATGTTGTTTTGAATAAGATTCAGAGTAGTCTTACGAAATGCTTTTTATTCAGCATAGGCCACACTAACCCAGAAGAGGCTACCAGTATTTACACATGGAGCATACCTCCACATGCGCCAGTAATTTTTGTCCTCATTGATTTAGCTAGCACAAAACCTTAAATCTTGCTTTTGTACCAACATGAAAAGTCTTGAAAGTTTTGTTCTGAGCTAAAGACTCCAGCATCCAATTAGAACTGAATGGAGTCATATTTTTTTATTTTTCTACCTCTGGGTTTCCTTTGAATGCTTAGAAGTTTTGCTACTGTGGAGAGCATGATCCTGAAAATTAGACTTTAAATTTCCTATTGCCGCTGAATTCCAGTATTTGGTGATGGCGTTATTAATACTTGAGTTCTGTGCCCCTTAAAACTTCTGTCTTGTGCATGGTTTCCTATATATGCTTATGTTTACACACAGATTCATTGCATCGTGTATTCATTATAAAGAATCATGCTTAAGTGTAGGCCCTAGGGCCAGACTGCCTGAGTTCAAAAACTGCCAATTACTAGCTGTGTGACCTTATTCAAGTTACTTAACTTCGTCAGTGCCTCTGTTTTCTCATCTGTAAAAATGGGATCGATAATAGAACTTCTTTTAAAGAATTATTGGAGAATTAACAGTCAAGTATACGAAATGCTTATTAGAACAGTATCTGGCACACAGTAAAATACCCAGTATTGATGCTGTTATTGTTATTTATTTATTTATTCATTGCTCAAATATTTACCAAACACTGTGTTAGACCCTGGGAATACAGTATAAACAAGACAGGCACATTCCCTACTCTTGTGGAGATTATAGATATAGGAGTCAGTTACTTAAACCTAGTACCTTTTGAAAAGTAGAATGATGTCATTGGTGAATTGTATAGATTAACCAGTAAAAGTAGATAACAAGGCATAATCAAGGCTACTAGCAAACATTAATATGTACTTTGATTTTTATGCTTCTGAGCCTCTTTCTAAAGATTAGATAGCTATTCAGTGGTATGGAAGTATCATGTAAATATATGAAAATTGATATTGACCTATTACTAACTTTAAAATAACCACAATTCTCTTTGTTTGAGAATTTTTAACTTGGAAAATTTACAAACGTTGTGTTAATGAAATATTCATCCTAATGTGCCAGTTTTTAACCACATCAAATAGTCAATCCACTTTAAAAAAGTAAGATTTTTTTTCAGTGAAACAAACAAAAATCCTTTTTTTTTTTTGCACAGCATTTTAGGAAATGGCATGAGGGACACATTCTCAGGCCAAAGGTAAATCATATATCTTTCATAAAAAATATCTCAACTTAAACTCTACTAGATAATACAAACTAAATTTTTGCTTACTATATTATTGGTCTTTAACATTCATTTTTCTTGCCATTGTATTTCTAATGTCCTCAATCGTGCTTGGTTTTTTATATACTAAGATACTTTACGTTTATTCCCATTCTTTAGAGATATTAGAAAAAAATCATGAGTTAAAATGTAGAATTGAGAAAACAGTAACTTTAAAGAAGTCCAGCAAGCTAGTTAGAACACCTTCCTTCAGTGAAAACATGTAGCCTGTTTCTAATCAAATTACTATCTGCTGTTGAGTTGTCCCTTCTTGCAAACATTTCCTAATATTTTTCTGTAAATGATGTTAAGTTAAATGGCCCATAATTGCTTGCTCTATCTCATAGCCCTGTTTAAAATAATGCTATGTAACACTTTCCAGACCTCAGGAATCTGATCTGTCATCAGAGGACTTGTATAAATACCAGTTAGAGCTTCCCTTAGTTCTGTCTCTGTGTTTTGGGGGTCTTGAAACTGTTCCCTTTTACTCCCTGTTCTCACCACGTTCTCACACTTCCCCTTCTGTAGCAAGAAATTAGATCCTCTCTATTCCATCCCTTCATCTTCCCCAGCTCTGTTAGAAGCCAGCTGATCTCTCCCTGTCCTGATCTTTCTGACCTCTAAGCTCTTATCCTACCCTTCCACTCCTGCTTTTCTTTGTTCCTTGTTTTGACTGGTGGAAGCCTGGGTAAGAGGATTCAGAGAGACAAATTAAGGGCGAGTTCTTTTCTTTCAGCATTCCTGGACCTGTGAAAGGAGAGGCTGGACTACTTGTTCTGTAAGGTCCCTTCCAATTTTTATATAAATCCTGCTTTTATAACTATCAGACCACAACAGTGTGGAATGCTGTCACTCATCAGAATGCTTCCTCTTTTGTAATTATTCTCTGAACTTTTTACTACTTCTATTTTATAAATAGTTTATATCTCTAAATCACTGTTTATATATTTTGAGCCTCCCTCTTAGGCTCTTCATACTAATCTTTATATCCTTCCTTAATCACATTGGCCTTTCCTGCCCTTTTCCTTCCTTGGACTTAACCAAGAGAGCTTTAAATTTCAATCTCTGGTTGATTATCAAATATTCCACTGTGTGTTTTCCATACTTCATAGGATCCCATACAAAACCCCCAGGGGTGTATAACATTTCTCCTAAAGCCTGTGTTCTTTCCTCAGTTGCTGTCTCCCTCAAGAACATTTTATTCCTAATGAAACAGTAATTGTGTACTGACTATAATGCTCCCAACTTCCTCCTATTTTTCTTTGAAGATTCTTATGATTAGATCCAGATTAGGATTATGTCATTAAAGGTTCAAAAATCTTTATGAGTATACATAACTATATGTGTTTTCTTACTTAAAATACATATTTTGTATTTATCCTAAAAAACTTTCTGGTGTCCTTAATGTAGATGGTTTCATCCCTTGCACCAACAGGGAACTCCTATAAAAGCTGTACCTTCTTTCTAAAAATCCTGTCTCGATAATGACTACCTTTATATGTAATTGTAGGTTACATCTACAAAATAAATTCCAAAATCTTAAAAATTTGTTTTAGCCTCTGCAGCTACTTTCCTTAGGAATAACAATTAGTACTTGATTTCAGCTTCTATAAACTTGCTCTTATGCACCTCACTCAAAGTATAGAATTATACTTTGAGAGGCCCAAAATATAAAATTATATATGGGAGGCCCATCCGTCACTGATGTGATCACCTGTTCATTTTCATCTAGCCAGTGAGATCTATATTCTAGAATTTTAGAAACTTCTATTTGCTATTCGTTTTTTAAATAACTAAACAACACTTTTCTGTTCTAGCAAGCCATATATACCTTCTAAAATAACTATAATTCAAATAATCTTTATGTATGGAGATTTTATAGATAATAATATTCATGGTTTTCTGCATGGGTCTACTAAAAGTTAGTCCATGTATATCTACTTGGGCTCCTATCTTTATTTATCTTACCCTAGAGGCTTCCTCTTGCCTCACTCCCCATGCCTTTGGTTCATTGCAAGCTGGTTTCTTCATTGTTGCATCTACTAGCAAAGTGGAGAGTTCATTAGACTGCTTGTCAGAAACTTCCAAGTAGATATCCAAAGCTGATGGTCTTCTTGACTTAGTAGCTCTGATTGGCCTCCTGGACAATTACACATCATGTGCTTGACCTGCCAGTAAAAACCTAGTTTCATTCAGCTGCTGTCAATAGGTACTGTCCTTAATAGCAAAATCCAATTTGTACATTTTGTAATGCTGTGATAAATGTGCAAGTTTCCTGGTTAAGTCAGATATGTACTTCTTCACAAAAACTTGGTGTAAGAATATCTAAACTAAGAAATAAGCAGATGTCTAGGTACTAAAAGATTCTCTAAATTTTAGAATTCATTACAAGAATCCTTTATATAGTACATTCATGGTGTACATTTAAAATATGATTTTTATTTACCTCAGCGCTGAGCAATATATCAGTATATATAAAATAAAATATCCTTATATTCCTATATTGAGGTATTAGAGATTCCTACCATGGAAATAAGTCCTAATAACACTATGAGAAATATAAAAATGAATGAGATAAGGTCCTTGTTCAATAGGTACTCTCAAACAAATGAGTAGAAAACAGGTAGGAAGCTATTTTGATGGTCACAGGCAGGTATAACAAGGAGCTAACTGAGCCAGGATAGTGGAGCAAGAAAAGCAGTGACAGTTGCCGGGACATTGTAGAGATGGAGACCACAAGATTAGAGGTCAGATTAAATGGTGATGCGTGGAAGACAAGCATCAACTGAGGGTGACTACCTGGAGTAGAGGCTGCACAGTAAAGGGTGGTAGGGAAATAATGATGCCATCAGCGATCTAGAGAGAGGACTCAGTTAGCAGGAGGAGGTGTTGAGGTCTGTTACATTCATGATCCCTGGAGATATCCATGTAGCAAATTTCAAGCAGGAGTGGGAGCTGGAAGCCTGGTGTAGAAGAAAGAGGTCAGGTGTGGAGGCTAGATGTGCAAGCGGTGAGAGTTGAAGACCTGACGTGAGCACCCCAAAAGAGAGCATTTGGGATAGGGGTCAGGGAGAAGGGCATGAACAAGGAGTTAGTCACAAAGCTAGGCAGGGTTGAATTCCAGGAACACATTTGTCTCAAAAATACATTTTGAAGAAGTGGGTTAAAAATTCATAGAGTTCACAAATCAAGCATGTGTATCCCACAGCCTAGGGCCAGACTAAAGTGTCTCCCACCCTAGATAATTATTCCCTACTTTTAAGGCCCCTTAAAGATTTAAAGGGCAGATGATTACTACATCTCAATCCAAGCAAAGCTGAATTTCAGAGTTAAGCAGAGACCTAATTTCAAATTGATGTGTCCTAGAAGTCAGGTTGCAAAGTATTTTAGAATTCTTAAAGATCAAAGGGCTTATATAAATATAAGGTACTTTGCACTGCATATTATTTTTATTACTGTCATCATCATTAATTATTATTATCATCATTATATACCTCTGTGAAATCATTAGTTATCAAGAGGCATCTGAAATGATACTTTGACTCTTCAACTCCTGAGATTTTTATATTTATTTTATATTTATATATTTATTTTGTTTCATACCTATACAACTTCACTCAGAAAATTGTTGCTACTTAGCACTACCAGCTCTGTACTTCTTGATCCAATGGTAGAAATGAAGATCATGGTAAAAGATAGGGAATTGAATTGGTGACCTTCTCTTGTTTTTTTCTTAAATTTATTTTTCAATTAGAGTTGATATTCAGTATTATTTTATATTAGTTTCAGGTGTACAGCATAGTGGCTAGACATTTATATAATTTACGAAGTGATCCCCCAATTAGTTTAGTACTCACTATACATAGTTATTATAGTATCATTCACTATATTGCCCAAAGTACACTATATATGTGTACTTTACATCCCCGTGACTATTTTGTAACTACCAATTTCTGCTTCTTGATCCCTTCACTTTTTCACCCAATCTCCCAAGGTCCCTCCCATCTGACAATCTCCAGTTTGTTCTCTGTATTTATGAGTCTATTTTCATTTCGTTTGTCGGTTTATATTATTTTTTTAGATTCCACATATAAGTAAAATCATGGTATTGGTCCTACTCTGTCTGACTTATTTCACTTAGCATAATGCCTTCTAGGTCCATCTATGTCATTGCAAATGGTAAGATTTCATTTTTTTTATGGCCGAGATAATATTCCATTGTATATATGTACCACAACTTCTTTATCCAATCATCTGTTGATGAGCATGTAGGTTGCTCCCTTATCTTGGCTATTTTAAATAGCACTACAGTGAACGTAGGGGTGCATATATCTTTTCAAATTCGTGTTTTCATTTTCTTCGAATAAAAACTCCAAAGTGCCATTGCTGGGTCAAAAGGTAGCTCTGTTTTTAATTTTTTGAGGAACCTCAAAACTGTTTTTCCAGAGTGGCTGTATCAGTTTGCAATCCCACCAAGAGTGCATGACAGTTCACTTTCTCCGCATCCTCACCAACACTTGTTGTTTTTGGACTAATTAATGATGGATGACAATTCTGACAGGTGTAAGGTGAAACATCATTGTGGTTTTAATTTGCATTTCTCAGACGATTAGTGATGTTGAGCATCTTTTCATATTTCTGTTGGCTGTGTATGTCCTCTTTAGAGAAATGCCTATTTAGGTCCTCTGCCCATTTTTTTTTTATTGGACTGTTAATTTTTTTGATGTTGAGTTTATGAGTTCTTTATAAATTTTGGATGTTAATCTTTTATCAGCTCTATCATTGGAAAATATCTTCTCCCATTCAGTAGGTTGTCTTTTCATTTTGTTGATCGTTTCCTTTGCTGGGCAAAATCTTTTAGTTTGATATAGTCCCATTTGTTTATTTTTTCTTTTGTTTCTCTTACCCAAGAAGATACATCAGAAAAAATACTG